GGGGGGGGGAACCGGCGAAAGAGCCATTGGTTATGTTAGAACCAGCAGTCCAATTTGATCTTGGTGCAAAGCCGCTCGATGAGGTGTTGCCCCAACTGGGGATGCTTGGAACTTCTGTTGCAGAAGTCTTTAAAGCGCTGTGCAGACAATCCTCCTCCGTAGCAGTTGTTGCAAATGTGGTAGATCCAGGCTCTGTACCGAACGGCACTACGGAAAAAACACTCTGTGTGAGGAATACAGTAACTGCTCCGATAAAATCGTTGACCTGAATTTGTACAATAGCTTCAATAGTACTGGTACTATTCATGATTTGGGTCGGGCCTGGGCAAGCCTCTAGCGCTGTTGTGCTGGTCGAAACGGTCTGTCCAGTAGCACCAGGCACCGAGCTCTGTCCCTTAACCGTTCCAAACACCGTCGGTGCGGAAGTTGGGCTGACACCCGTAGCATTTGTGACCGTTCTGATATTCGATTCAATTATTGAGACAGTTGAAGATGGTTGAAAACTCATCTCGCTGCTGTCGGTCTTGGAAATTTGTTCGATGGATGGCCCGAAAGTAGCGAAAGTTGCGTTAGATGGCATGTCAGCACAAGCTATGTGCTTGGGGAGCAGGCTTAACCCGAGTGCGAAAAAAAGCGGAAACATCATGACAAACCTCATGTTCGCTGTGACTTTGCAACCGAAGTCATGCGAGGATTTAGACGAGTGATGTAGATGTATACTGTGAAGAGGACCCGGAATCGGTCTCAAGGAGAGGGTCCAGAATCGGGCACCACCTGCTCATGGTCAACACTGTAAAAGCTGGGATAGAATTGCCTCGTCCTCCAACTCAAACTTACCTAAGCACGACTTACTTGATACAGATTCGGATTCAGATTACGACTGAGAGCTTCCAGGCTCAGACCCGCCAACCCCGATCGAGGTTGGTTCTTTTAATTTGTTGGCCTAAAGTTTTGAGGAGTTTTAGCAAGTGCATCAGCTTGAGACAATTGAGAGGCTTATAATTAAAAATAATACAATACATAATACCATTATGCAATACCAAAGGCTTTGGTGTTAAACTCTTAAATTACTTAAATAGGCTCTTATAGCTTTATGAATTACTATAGAGAGCACTTAGATAATACTTTAATGAAGATATTGCTGCAGAAAAAGATTAGTTGATATTTTGGGGTATAAGAAAGGAAGAGCAGAGGTAGCAATACAGTCCTGCAGGTTAGATTTTTAAACTAAAACTCTATAAAATATGCATTATAAAAATATATGTATCTAAGAAACAACAATTTCAATGTTCATCTTGGGCCTCTATCAATGAAATCCTCTTCCCCCCTGAACTCACTTATGTTTCTCTACCGTAATCCTGACCTTAATGCAGGATGATCTTTTAGAGCCACTATTGGCTTTTCCGTATATGGGTATTTGTAAAAGCTCTGCGGTCTAGATTTCTTATACTGAAGCAGAGGAGAGTTTAGGCTGATGATTTCATTCTGGACGCAGGTTGTTACTGGTTTAAATTCTATTGAGACAGGGACCGTCTTTTCCTCAGCATCATGTTCATTTAATGACAAAGAATCCTCTGAGTTCTTTAGGGCGTTTCTCTATCTGACTCGCCTTATGAAGAAGACTAAGGCAGCAGTGGTGAGCATTGTTGCAAGTAAGATGCTGATAACTATACTAGTAATAGCTGCCTGATGCCTTCTGGCTCTTCGAATTCTTAGATGGGAAGGATGCTGAACTTGGCTGCAAGCTTGGACTAGGGCCTTCTGCCGGCCAAGACTGGCCTGGAATAAGCTGATAATCTGCATTGATTGCTGCAGATTTTGCCATATGAATAGATTAGCCTTTAGCAGGATTAATTATACTAACCATTCTGTTCAGATGACATGAATCAAGTGCGATATAATAGAACTATATAGGAAAGTTATCGCCAATAGTGATATTAAAATTTGGGACCTATATCACAGTTAGTCATCTCCAGTGAGCAGGAATGTAGAGTAGCATACATCTCCGTTAATTGAGACTGTTTACGTGAGGAAATTTTCAGAATGGAATCCTGTTTGCCCAGGGTGGATCAACTCGTAGGGTACGCATGGATTGCATTGACTGCTCCCGCAGGCCTTGGATTCCGTATATTGGCAACGAACCACCGAGTGGTTTATTGGGAAGAACTCAAAGACAACAAGGTCTCCATATCTGCAGTTGTTTTTATACGACTCTTATCGAATGAATCTGGGCTGCGTCTATAAACATTACAGCCTGAATAAGAAGTAAGAGCCGGAGGCAAGAATGAGCCATAGTGAAGAGGTGGGAAACGAGTAACTTGAGATTTTGTAAGTATATTGATGCCAGCGGAAAGTATCGCCTTTTGTCCTGCACAGAATGCCGCGAGGTAGGGTCAGGTGGGGCGGCGGTCCTGGGAACCCTGTTGGCGGGGCAGCACGGAGTACCTTGCATGTTCATGGAGGCGGTGCTGCTCCTGGATAAAGACTTTAGCTCACTAAGTGCAAAGCAATATTTTCTTAAAATAATCATTTAGAGTCTATACCAAAGCTACTTGCATTCCTATAACCAGTAATCCTAATTAGATCATGTGCCAAGAACCAGGTCTCTATATCCTTAATGGGTGCGATGCCTGATGCTTCTAGGGTGAGCAAATGTAACTGCATCATCCAAGCACCAAGTTCCTGCTGACATCTGCATTGGAACCGCACACCCGAGCGCGCATTCGCCAAAAGTAGTCTGGTTGACGCAGAAGAATCCTGAGGACGAACATGGTATAGTACCTTCTCGGCATACAGAAGGGCGACTTACGTTGACGCCCACATTGCTTACTTCTGAAACGGCTGTGGCAGTGATATTCAGATAAGCTTTTGTCAGCGTGGTGGGAATCGCTGTTGTCTGGCTAGAAGGCGTATTGTTGCCATCGTTCTTGGTATGAGTTTCTGGGGGGCCACCGCCACTAAGACCTGTGAAGCTCAAACCCTTCAGATCTGGTAGTAAGTCAAATCCACCGTTGTTCTTTGCTTCTGTGATAGTGATAGGAGCGCAATTCATATACGTCTCATCCGTGAGATGAGAAAGCCAGACCCACGCGAAAGTCGCAGGGCCATTCATCAATTCGTCTGGCATAGGTATAGTATAGGAGTGTACACAATCTGTCTGGTTAGAGTTGGAAGACGAACACTGAACTCCAGAGGGATAGTCGTCGCTATTGTTGTTCACAGTGTCGAGATTGAGCGCAGTACTCGCAGGACAATCGCCAGGGATAGTATACACGTTTCGCCAGTTTGAGGGATCTTCAAAATCCTGGGAACTGGGCGAAGCGTATGTCATGGCAATGAAGCAGGCCCTATAAATTATTAGACTAGTATGGCCAGGGTGGCGAGAAACTTACCCTCCGCCGTGGGTAGCAGCGGAAGCAAGATGAAGAAGTTGAGGTGAGTCGCCAGACCATATACTTCCTGTACAATTGTCAGCAAATGGAGCTTCATTCTTCTTGCACGGGAACTCGGATTGTAACATAGGACCATTCGTCAAGCCTTTCTTGTAGTTACAAGGCTTGGGAATGACCATTACAGCATGTGCACTTGCAAGGGCAACAAGGCCCAGAACTGTGGCTATCTTTCGAGCCATTTAATGCGTTATTTGGGCCTGGTTCAATGAGAAGAGACTTTTTAACAGTACTTGCCATCCCCTTATAAGTCAGCCTAGGTAGGTGGTCCATTTTCGGTCTTGCGCAAGGATTAAGGTGAGTGGTTGGACCAGTTCCGGACCCTCAGGTTGGATCAGCTAGGCTTTAGACTGACTTCAAATTGTAGTAAACAACAATGAATTACAAAAAGCAAATTACAACAGTGTTTGATAACCCATACGCCAAATATGTTCTCTCTGAAACCTGCCCAACTTACCAAACACCTACTTGCGCCGCCGGGCCTTTCGCTGTTCTTGCCCAGAGTCAACTTCATCGTCATCTTCAAGCGCGCTGTGCTTCCTTTTCAGAGATGGTGGAAGTGACTCTGGCAGTTGTACGTTTGGAGGACTGATGCTAGAGAGATCACTCTCGTCCTTGACATCAGCCTGCGTTTGTGCAGTTATTTCCTGGCCATTATCGGCACTCAATGGCTGATATCCAACTTCGTCGAGCTTAGCTTCCAAGCTTAAAACCTGAGCTCGGAGGCCAACAACCATTTTTCCCATTTCTGCATTGACATCCATGAGTTTTTTGTTCTCCTTCTCGATCCGGATGTTCAAATCGTCGAGCTCTCGATATCTCGCTTGGCATGCGAGTAGATCATCTTTCAATCGCTGTGAATGCCCTTCGAGGTTTTTGTACTTGGCATTCTCTCGACGAAGATCCTCAATGTCTCGGCCCATGGCGTTATTTGTGGCAGATGATTGCAGTAATTTATAATATTCGGCAAAGTATGCTTTCTCAAATTTCTCCGCACTGGAGGTGAGGAAGGCGTCATGAGCAAGAACCTGGTCATGCACAGTTTGCACAAGACGACCCATGGTAACGATGCTGTTAAGAATGTCCATGACGTGAGGCTTTGGAGAGCGCCCGGAGTTATTGGCCAAGGGAGGTACCATTCTTGCCTGGTTCTCGCCAGCAACCTAGGATGGTGTGAGAGCAATTTCGGGCTTGATGCAGCGAGACCTTACCTGAGGCATCATGGCTGTTGAGATGAGGTGCGAAGTCATGGTCCAGGAAGTTTATCAGAGATAAAGGTATGCGAGTTGGCTGAGTGATGGTGTTGGGACTAGGAGAGTCTCTGCCGCATTCCTTGTTAAGTTACATTTATACTAACGGGGCAATAGGTACATCTATGGCATCTCTAACTGAATGATTACGCAAAAAGAATCGCCTGCTGAGCTCGTATCTTGAAACATGAGCTAAGTTTCAAGTTGTCATACTCCAGCAGTTGATACTAATTTAATCGGCTGTTACCATCTCAATTTTTTATGGTGTTGCGAAAATGGGATTATCTGCACGCGAGTGTCGACCCCTGTCAGTTAATCCTCCGGATCTTGGAGACTCCGAATCATAGCCACTGAGACAGGGAATATGAAACTCGATCGAAATCTCCAATTTAAGCTTACTTGACACTACAATCGATAGCTAACATAGGTAGGCCACACCCAGTCCACTCAATCCTTGCAATCCACCAACTCTTGGCGAACCATTATCGATTCAAAGGTTGAGGCTGTGAACGTTGACAACCCTGTTTCCTTTGTTTCAAACGATGCAGCCACCTGTCTTCAAGGCTGGATACTCTCAATTTGGAACAATTGCGGCCATTAATGCCACGAAACATGCTCAACAGCATACCGAAGGGTATCTTGCCTCTTGTGCAGCTTTTGTCGAGAAGCTCATATAGTAGAGCAATAGAGCCGTAGCCTTGTTGGCGTTAAATCCTGTATATTTTCATGTTACTAGATGATGTAGCGGTATCGTCCATCTTCAGCCATATCTAACACCTCAACAGGGTTGGAAAATGGGCTCTCAAAGGCACTAGGCCTCCCGAATCAGGGGGCAGATTTTGGTCCTGAAGGCTAAGTAACGGATGTTACGCATCCGATGAATAAGCTGATTGAGAAGAGCTCTGGTATTAGCATACTTATACACATTAAGAGCACGTGTCTGTGCTTCTTCATTGACTTTTTTGTTACTTTCTCCTACTGTAACTTCAGGATTCAAGCTACATTACACGGTAACCATGTCTGATCCATGGACAACCTCCACACAACTGGCCGAAAACTCGCTAGATTCAACTCTGCCCAGCTTCTCATCATTAGATCTTCTAGAGCATCTGGATCCCGTAGAACCTGTACTTGATATCACGTCTGGCACACTCAGTATGCCAAGTGATACAACCTTCGACTGGTCTAGCAGCGTTGATCCTACCCTCCTGTTACTGTCTGAACCGGATGATTTCGTCATCGAAACGCCCCCAGGGGTTGACATTTCTTCCAACAAACCTGCATCCGATGAGCAAAGCCTGAGAGAAGCTATACTACAGCTTGGATACAGCTTGGAAGCGAGAATAGCGCAGATAGAAGATAGCCTAAGGCTCATGGATCAGAGACTGACAAAAGTCGAAGACGCCAAGGAGGCACAGGATATTGAGTACGTTGACAACCTCTGTGTACGTCTTTTCTGGCTAAAAATATGAAAGAATGCAACAACGTAAGGAGCAAATTCGGACAGAGTCGAAGAAATTGCTTGATGACATCCGCGAGTATCATAATCTCATGAACTTGACCGCTAAACAATTAGTTAGGTCAGTCAAATAAGCTTATGGTGCTTTTCTTCAATGTAAGTTATCATAGAATTTGGGTTGATTTAGCTGGTGGATCGTTGCAATGACAACTCTGTTTCTTCTAATGCTCATGTCGAACGAAGCCCCATATTTTCTCTCTTTTCAGTTCGACATCCGAGCAGGACAGCGTCGCTCAGGGCCCTGAAAACGGGACAAGATGCTCGCAGAGTGGCTCGAGGGTCCAGAATCGGGTAAACTTTGTGGCATGAAGTTGTGTGCAGTAATATAACTCTTCGAGCTTGGACTTTCCCTTGATGCATGAATATTCGCAATTCATGTACCCAAAGAAGGTTCATCATTAGAACCAGAAAATCATCACGACATTATGCTGGGTTACAACAAGCTTAAGATTCGCCCATTAGTCAATACTGACGTACCCTCAAAGAACAATGTCGATCAAGCTACCCGCAAGCAGGGCACTCATCCAGCGATCGATCCACGTTCAAGGATAGAGTCGGCAAAGAAAATGCCTACCCCAGATATTTCCATCATTCAACAACAAAGGGAATGGGAGAACACTCAGCTAAGAAATGAACTTCAGTACCAACGAAGAAAGCATGGCGCTAGCATGTATTTACTTGAAGAGGTTCGACTTGTGGTCAAATCTCTTCAGGAAGCACTCGTCAATTTCGAGAAGCTGAACTCGGCATTTGAAGACGAAGTGACTGATGAGTGATCTTAGAGAAGATAAGTTCAGTAAATGAATTCGTGCCACTGTTTCAAATACAAAAAATGCATATCTTGGTTATACTTTGAAGTTGGATTAGCCTTGCGTGCACGGAGGCGATTTTTCGAAACATGGACAATATGGCAGTTGACTCGCAGACAGGGGGCAGAGCCGCAAGGAGCCCTAGACGCAGGTATTGTCGATCGCTAACATATACTAGCTCGTTGCGCAATTTCTAACGAATGAAAGCAACGTGTTCAAGTGCACTGCCCCTTTTCATTGTTTGCCTGACCACAGGCTGTCTGCATCGATTTCAAATCTTGAACGCGTTTAGGCCCACAATCAGGACCTTGAGACTAAATCAGGGTACCTTTAGAGCGGAAGTCTTCCTTGCCGGGAGTCGTTCGTGGTTGGGCACCATCTTATTTATGTTCAGACCTTACCACGAATAAGATTTTTTCTTTGACAAAACATCTAACTTACAGCGCACAAGCTCAATCGTTGTAGTTGCAAGCAATGGAAAATCTCGTGCTTGGACAATCGGTAAGACAATGGAAAATCTCCGCAGCCAAAAAATAACGTACTAATTTGCTTGGTAGGCTATGGCTATCCCACTGAAAAGTCCGATGGTGCAGGATGTTCTTCAGAAACTCAACTCGATTGGAGCCGACTTCGTTTGGATCTTTGCTGTATATGAAGAGCAAAAGCGTATCAATAAGGAGTTGAAGGATGAAATTACCAACGTCTCAGCTTCCCACGAACTTCTACGCCAGACATATGATCTTGCAGAACAGAAGATCACGTCGCTTGAGTCTCGGCTATACAACAGCTGCAATGATACAAGCGATAGCTACACCGAAGTTTCTTTGGAAAGCTCAACTAGAGAAAAGATAAAGGACCAGCAAGATCAGATATCCTATCTCGTAGCGGAGAGCCGCAGGGTGGAACGCAGACATAAGGCTGAAATGGCGGCAATGGCTGAGATCACCACGAAATACGAAGAGGCTCTGGCGCATATGAGTGCTTTGGTTGCTGCCGGCGCAAAGAAGATAGCAGAGCTTGAAGCGGGAGGCGAATCTCAAACCAGCGATCTTGAGATGAATAAATGTGAAGAGGCTTGAGTTGTGCTTGTTTGCTACAGTGTTCGATCTCATTCAATGAAGATTGTTTCTGTCCAACGTTCGTGAAGATCATTTTCCAGATTCATTGTCACGAGTCGATAATATATAGGAATAAGGAACACTTGAGGCTCTTACTTTCAAATAGCGGAATCACAATCACCGATTGCGCGCTTCGATTGCTAGGATCATAATCAACCTAAGACAGAGCCTATGATTGCGGCCAACGAAGTGAAAAACGAATTTCAAGGGCGTGAATGGGCATTTTCGCCGATCCCAATCTATAACGCCATTGGATGGATCTGGATGCATCAGCCAGATGTAATCCCTTCTCATCTATGGAGGATTTTAAGATGCAAGCCACCGATTTATTAAAGCAGTACTCAAAAGTTGTTGGTTACCAACCCAAAATCTTAGCCTTGGAAACATCCACGAGCTGAACTGGTGAGAGAGAGTCACAGTGGGGAAGAGAGCGAGAGAGGGGGGCCAAAAATGGGACTTTGGAATTGACCATGGCGTTAAGTCATCTTATGTTTATTATGGAGATCGTCTCTTTATATTCCAGTAAGAAAGACGTGTATCGAATCTTTACTTTCCGCGGCAGTTCAGATAACAATAATTTGGCCATGACCAGTTTGTCTGTTGACGGAGACGTTCGTAAGGTACAACTTCGAGCGCAGCACAAGAAATAACACTACTAATGTGATATAGGAAGTCTCGAGGCAAGAGAGAGCACATTCACTGTCTCCTGTGGATACGATGATGAACAAGTTGCGCGCTGGAGTTGAAGAAGCCGGAACAGAAATCCGACATTCCATGTTCTCCGTGAAAGCCTCCTGCGATCATAAAGCAGCTCAGAATTTGCAAATCTTACAAGAACAGGTTGACAACGCTCAGCGGACTCAATTTATCCTCCAAGAGAGGAATCAAGAAGTGCTGATGATCATTTCCATGTTGCGTAATGAACTTGCTGAGGTTCGGAAACTGAATGAAGCCTATAAACAACAACTTAAAATGCGCGAGCAGGAAAATCAAATTAGCGGTGGTGAGTCGGGTCCAAGTCAGGGCGACCTGACAGATTCCACAGTGTTGGCAAGCCGCATTGTGTCGCCAGTTCACAAGAGGGCTGATATTTGCAAGACTAGGCTGATGCAGAGAACAGCAGGCAAGGCGTGAGGCGCGAATAGGTAGAAAGTCGCAATCTTTAGATTGTCGATTTTGATTTCTAGATGATGAGATCTTCTAGTGTGAATATCATTGTTTTCGCCATCCCGTTAAACGTACAAAGAGTGCGCAGATGTTGGTGGTTGCATTAACGTTTGTAAAACTCCACGCGTATTGGCCATACGTGTTGGCATATTTCGAAACACAACGTGGTAGCAGTAAGCCACGATCGACGCTTAGGCCAATGGTTCGTGCATCGGGAATTGTCAGATCCGCGCACGACAGCTGAGCCACACTGGATGAGATCCAAAGCATAGAAGATACTTAAGTATCCAATGAGAGTCTCAAGTTAAGCGCCCGTAACTCGCCTGCTTCTAGCTTCAATCTCGCCCTAGCACCATCGTTTCCGGAAGTCAAATTCCTCCAAGTAAATATTCTTATCTTGCATTTCTTATCCAGCTCCACAGTGCAACCTTTTCGACCTTGTTGGCCGGAAGTAATAAGGTAATTAGGATTCATGGCCTGGCAGAGCATATCCATGTGCCCTCCAAGGGGTTCAAAGTGCCCTTTTTGGGTCTTGGCTGAGATGGAACTCGATATGTGACGAAGAGATGGATGTCAAAGATCAAGCCAAGCAGTAATAGCGTTTGTATATGGCTTGACTAGAGTTGCGTAACTATTCAGCTGTTCAAGTGCCGCGCTTGCCGATCTCCCTGGAACCGGAATTGTCATGCTGGACCTCTTCTGAAAGAAAACCCCAGTCTGTAAGAAGAGATTCTTAGTTAATGGGCGTTGCTTCATCTGTTCGGTAGGAAGCGAGGAAGCTAGGACTGATTGAGAGACTAACTTCAGCTTCGATTCCGCATACCACGCTTCGAAGTCGTTAACACAATATGAATTTTACACCAGGAAGTTTGAGAAAGAGAAAGAGCGAGGGGCTGTATATTAATAGATTTTGCAGTTCCCAGCGTTTCATCATTCGGAAGGGAGGGTCCTGAAACTGGCCCCTCGAGGCGGTGCTCTTCCGGAGTTGAAGGCCCTTGGGGTATAAGTTCTCTGAAGCACTTATGGCAGAAACTAACAATCTAACTATGCCTTCTCAAAAGCCCAGTCTTCGTAAAAGATTGAATAAAAAGAAGAAAAGACGATTTGGTCCTCTGAGGGGCAAATGCCGAGAGTACGCAGAGCTTCCCGGAGTTGAGTTAGCGCTCTTCATTGCCTTCGAGAAAATGGACAGGAACAACAAAATAAGAAAAGAATTTTACTCACTACGATCCAAGCGTAATTTACCCTGGTTAGAAAATATAGATGGCATTGTAAGAAGTGCATCATCGCAGTAGCTTTTATTTACTGACTGGTATAGCTATTGGATAACATGAACAAGAACGAGTTGCTGGATGAGATGGGTAGCGATATTGAGATGCCTTGCGGAGAACAAGATGATGAAATTGGTGGGGATACCATTGTTGTCGGTGGTCGACACCAGGAGGGGCTGAATGCGCTGGGTTCTCCTCGCACTGGACCCGTATTTCCGCCTCTACCTGACCTTGATCTCGACTTGATTTGTGATATCATGTCATTCTAACTTATTAGTTACGGGAAGACTAAAGTCAATACATGTGATTCTTTGAGTATTTGAGCACGTAAAAAGTCCTCTAGGTCTTTTTTGTGATGGGATTCAGCCGATGATATTGCAGGACTGTTAGGAATAAATGGTCCCAGTTGCAATTTAATTCGAGCCAGCAACGCCCCATGCCCAAAGTGGTCTCGTCAGTCCACTGTCTCAGCGGAAGAAGTCTCTGCTACAGACCTTCTACAGATACCTATTCACGGAGAAGCCACTGGTGGCTCCAAAGGGTCATCCTGAATTCTATTGCTATATCCAACCTGCAGGACTATATGGCTGACTATGATTTTCCTTTCTGATGCCCCAAAACTTTAACCAATCCTCTTCGGCAGAAACATCTTCATTAATACAGTCTTGGAATGCTCTCTGTAACATTTGTAAAGCTTTAAGAGCCTGTTCAAGTAATTCGAGGGTTGAACACCAAAGCTTTTGGTATTGCACAATGGCATTCTGCATTGTGTTGTTCTCGATTGTAAGCCTCTCTATGGTCTCAAGCTGATGCATTCGCTGAAATTCCTCGACCCTTTGGGTAAGTAAATTAAAAGAACCGGCCTCGATCGGTGTTGGGGGATCTGAGTCTAGGGTCTCTCTGTCGTAATCTGAATCGGAATCCATGTCAAGTGTTTTTGATGTAGAGAACGAAGCAGTTCTATCTCGGCTTTTACAGTGTTGACCATGAGCCAATAGTGCCGGATTCTGGGCCCTTTTCAAGCGACTGATTTCGGACCCCTTCGCAATATTTGATTACATTGCTCATCCAAAATTCCAGCATGACTTCGCTATCCGCTAAGTCGAGAGAAAGAAGTTCTTATTTACCTTCCATGCTTTTCAAACATGACGTGCAGCTTTTGGGGCGTCGCTATATGGTAAATAGTTTCTTCAACTTCGAAAGAAGAAGGGTAGGTGATCGGAGTCGTGATCCATGTCTTTGTTCACTGTACTTTTGATGGTCCTGTCAACTGCGCCTAGCGTCATCTAACAGAGGTCTATGGTCGATCTGCTGTCCCCTTCTTTATAGGTGATAGTGCCTGGTTCTAGCATGCTGGTCATGTCTAGGCTCTCCATCATCTCATCTCGACGAGGTCCTTTGCCTCCTATCCTTTGTGTCGGACTCTTGAGCCCCCCAAGAACCGGTGATAGAGGTTGAAGTCGCCTAAGGCAAGCGGAAGGATACTGTTTTGTCCTGTTATGTTCTGTGATGCATTGTACACTTTATGTATAATAAGCTTATTATCTGACACACCTGGTCTTTTGGTGCTGATTTTCAGCGTGCACAGGTCCCTCATGTGCTGTTCAAATTGCCATGCGCTGTGATCGAGTCTCTTATTGACAAAGAAGCACACCTGTGCTGGGCCTTCCCCATCGTCTACGGTCGGGTAGCAGAGGTGGAAGATATCCTTCGCTGGGTGATGTGTTGTCGACATGAATGAGCACGTCGTACTCTGCAACCCTGGAGTCCCGTAGCAGTGTCGCCATGACTGTGTCCTTTGATTTACGTACGTTGTACTGCAGTATGTTCAATTATTATTGTCATTTGATTATGCATCTATGTTAGGGTTGATATCTATCTGTGTCGCACTGAGGGGCTAGCCTAAGCTAGGCAGTGCTGGAGATTGCTGGTGTGCAGCGCTCAGGGAAGCAAAAGGAAGTGAAAATATGATGTATA